GCACGCACGCACACACACACACACACACATGCAATCTGCGCTTGGTGCTGCACTTCTCACCCATGGATGCAGTGCATGTGCCCAGACGCCCACAAACGTATAAATGCACGCACACACGTGCACACACACACACACACACACACACACATACACACACATACACGTGCACACACACGTGCACACAACAAACATACGTGCACACAACAAACATGCACGCATGCACGACCTTGCATGCACCCGCCCGCCCACATACACGCATGCACGCACTGCACACACTGCACACGCACGCACACGCACACGCACAAGGAAACGCATGAAAGCCAGCAACCACACACGCACGCACTGGCTCTCACGCTCACCAACACGCACGTGTGCGTACCTTGCCAAGGTGGAACCCACTGTTGATTCAAGACTGACAGCCTTCAACATGCACCTTGCTCAATAAGGCGGGACGCAAGAGTGTGCCATGGAATTAATTGACTGGCCGTCCTGAACCAATTTTCTTTCGCAATACACCAGGAGCTGGTGCAGTTTCTCATGGTCATGGATGACGTGTGCGCCGAGTGCGGGTTGTGCATCAACGCGGGCAAAACCGAGGTTATGAGGGCTGGGTGCCCAAGCTCACAGAAGTTGCCCGCGGTGCTCTCCCTTCACGGTGGTCAAGTGCAGCAGTGTTCCAAGTTCAAGTATTTGGGCTCGCTTGTTGCCTCTGACTGCACGTTTGAGGTGGAGGTCAGCGCGCGCATTGGCAAGGCAGCTGCTGCCTTCCAAGGGCTGCGGCATGTTTGGGATGCCCCCACCCAGGTGTTTGGGGTGGGCCCCAACTCTGTTGTCTACAAGACGTGCGTGCTTCCCATTTTGCTGTTTGGCAGTGAGTCGTGGGCGCTTCCCAATGGCCTGGTCAAGCGGCTAAACACCTCTCATAAAGACTGCCTACGGCAGATGTTGGGTGTGCGCCGCAGCAACCGTCACAGCAGCGCATATATCTATGATCGTTGCGCAGAGCACCCCATTGGCAGCTACCTGTCTGTTAACAGGCTGCGCCAACTGGGTCACACGATGCGCATGACCCACACTCGTCTGCCCAAATCGGCGCTTTGGAGCGCCGCCCCCGGCCCGCGCGCTGTGGGGCGGCCGCGCGTGTCATGGTTTGACGTAGCGAGGCGAGACTGTGCTGCCATGGGGATCGATGTCCCCGTTCACCTGGACGACCGCTGCTCTGACCGCCCCGCTTGGAAGAAGGCTTGCTTATCTCTCCTGCCAAAGAGGCGTGCGCCCTGTTACTAATTCCCGTCTTGGCCGCACCCGTCTTCTCCTCTGGCCTTTACGTTTAGGGGCGTTACCCCTTTGGGGACCCAGGGTTTTTCCCCTCGCTGCTGGAAAAGCGTAATGTAATGTATTGTAATGTAATGTAATACACCAGGCTGGTAAGTCCAGGACTTGCCATCACACTTACCTCACAGGAGGCTCAATAAAACCCACATGTTGCCATAAACCAAAAATAAATGCCAAGACACCCAGCGAGTGCTTGCTTGATCCGGTTTTCACAAGCCAGGATGGGACGGATGTTGGCAGGCGGTTGTTTCACAAGCATGTGCGCTCTGCCTTGACGCTGCGATTGTCAGGATTGCCTAACGCTCAGAAGACTGCTTGTTTCATCCATTTGGCATGCTTGGCTCGTGCAGCAGGCGGGCTCACGCTGCGCCTGGGGACATGAGTTCACGAGCAGCAGGAGTGCAGAACCATCAGCGTCGGCAAAGCGCAGGCCTCAGGGATCCATTTGCAACCGACATAGGGCGACAGTTCATGACAGAAGAATGTTGTGGATTCTCTTTCGCCGCCAAGAAGCCCAGCCTGATGATGCTCGTCACGCTATCGGATCTGTTCGCGTGTCATTGCCGCACCGTGCGAAGGCAACGATGCGGATAAAGCATTAATTAACATTATTTCCAGGCGTTGTTGGGACGGCGGTAGGGTCACCGCACACGTCACTCACCGCGATCTGTGCGCGGCCTAGCGGGTGACGGTCGTCGGCCCAGAACGTAGAATGATGCGTTTGGTGATTCTGCTGTGCTTACTGGCCGCCGTCATGGGCGCGTCAGCCAGCTTGGCGGCTGCCAGCCCGTCGCCGGCACGCCCCGCCGCGGTGCCGACCCAGCAGCCAGAGGCTGTGCCCCGCGCCGAGCGTCAGTGCTACACCGTCGCTTGGACGACGCTGCTCCGCTCGGCACAGAATGTTGGACGCGGCACGTTCGGAGAGCTGAAGAGCGCCACGTGAGCCGAGGCATCGGCTGGCCGGGGATTCTGGTGCCGACCCCACGGCCGGGCCCAAAATGAGCAACTGCCCGCCCACCACGGGGCGCGGGGCCCCCACGCCGACATGTTGCGGCCCACCTTGTCCCGCTCCCGCCCCCGTGCCATCTCTGCAGCGGCAAGAGCCTCATCGACGTCGTCCCCGCAGCCTCCGCCGAACCCACAGTGCCGCTCGCCGGCCTGGCGGCGGCGGCGGCCGTCCCCCCAGCCTTCAGGGCGCCCTCGGTGCGAGGGCGTGCGCGCGCACACAGTCAGCATGGGTGCATGCTTGCCTGCATGCAACCGCACGCAAGGGGGCAAACCGATGGACCTCCCCTGCGGCTGCACAGCCGCCCGAAGCGCGGGGTTTGTGCCGGGAGCAGATTGCCGTCAAGGGCCCGCGCCACGTCAGCGCCGCAGCTGGCACACCGCGATCGTTCCGAGAGCCTCCCTGCCTGATCTTATCCGCACGATGTTATGCATACTGTGTCAAATCGCAAGACCTTGGCACACATGAGCCTGTGCAGCACGCACCTGCACTTTTTTATACATATGTGTGCGAACACATCATCATACCAACACAAACGCGCACATGCACACACGCATGCACGCGCATGCACGCACGCACGCACACACACAGGCAGACTCAAACAAAAACGCATGCACACCCACTCAGAAATGCAGACACACGCATGCGCGCACACATCAACATAGACTCTCACTACATGTGGCCTCGACAGGGATTCAAGCTGACCACCCCAATCAGCCGCAACCCAGACTTCCCTTCGTTCCACACACCTGCCGGCGGCAACCGCACCTTCATGCTCAACCACTTTGAGTGAGCGAGGCCCTGTTGGCTTGAGGGAGTGGGCGCCCCGCTTCGGCGCCGGCACAGCATTCGCCGCGACCGGATTGTGCGCGCCGCACCCCCCTACCCAACCAAAGTCAGCGACAGGGCAGCGGTGGCGGCGGCGCACAGCATGTTCGCTTTGCTTTTAATACTATTTAGGGCGCAAGGGCGTGACGGGGGGACTTAGGG